TACCTGGATATAGAAAAATAATTTGATCTCAGTAGTAGATTATCATTTTAGTGATAAGGTCAAATAAAGTAAAGCATTAGAGAGCATAACTAAACATCTTAATTAAGGAGCAAGTGTGTGAGAAACATTATTAGAAATATGAGTGTATTTTTCTCCTCCTTATAAATATCCTCTGTTCCCTTACTATAGGATTATGAAACCAGACTCCATGCTCCTCCTGTAAGCACACCATGAAAACCATGTCATCAAGGTCTTAAAACACCTGTAAGAAAGGGCACACATCTTTCCTATTCGTGAGTACCAAGGGAAAAAAAAGACAGCCAATTTTTCTAGTGGGATGAGTGTGGTTATAATGGAGTAAAACATAATCACTGAGACTGGAAAAAATTTTACTTTGAACATACTCACACCAAAAGTGCCAGCCATTCATTGATGTAACAATGATGACCAAAGGTTGTTTAAGTGAGAAGTAATGAAGGATAGTGGCAGAGAGGAGCATCTGTTATCATGAATGTCATTGAATTATGGAATCATTGAATGATGAAACTGTGTGTGATTAAATGCAAACTTATTGAAAAAATGAGCAACATAAAATCTTTAGGTTTATGTGGATATCTCTCAGCTATCTGGTGAAAATGCAGAGGTTCAGCTACTAGATTATTTTCCTAAAGTTAACTAGAGAGAACCTCTAATAGAATCTACCATCACTCAGCTGTCAGTTTGTCATACCAAAAAGAAATGGTCCATGTTCAGCCATTTCAAGAGATAGCATATGATCAAGAGCCAATGATCCTGAAGGAAGAAGTCCAAGGTGCATTAAACTAATTGGCAATGAACAAGGCACCTGGAGTTGTTGGAATAAAAATTGAAATCTTTCAACAAATGGATGAGGCATTGAAGGCACTCACCTATACCAAGAAATTCAGAAGACAACTCTACCTGGCCAACTAAGTGGAATAGATCTGTATTTGTCCCCATTCCAAAGAGAGGTGACCCAATGGAATATGGAAATCATCAAACAATAGCATTGATATCCCAAGCAAGTAAAGTTTTACTAAAGATAATGCAAAACTGACTACAACCATACATGGACAAAGAACTTCCAGACGTTCAAGCCAGATTCAGAAGAGGATGTGGAACAAAGGACATATTGCTGAAATCATATGGATCTTGGCTGAAAGTAGAGAATGCCAGAAATATGTTTAACTGTGCTTTGTTGATTACATAAAGGTTTTAAATGGTGTGGTTCATTACAAGCTATTTTTGGTCTAACAGAACAAGAAAACACTGAATGGTTTAAAATTAGGAAAGTTGTGTGCCAGGGTTGTATTCTTTCACCATACTTACTCAATCTGTGTGCTGAATAAATCCATGAAGATGGACTATATGAAGAAAATTGTGGCATCAGGATTGAAGGAAGACTCATTAACAACCTGTAAACCATAGGGTTTACAAGACCATGACTTTTCAGAAGCAGATTGGACGTCTGTCTTCTGAGGAACTTCTGGGTGGGTTTGAACTACTAACCTTTTGGTTAGTAGTGTAGAACTTACACATTTGTGCTACCCAGAGACTCTGTTCATGTACATCATGATGCTCAATTTTCAGTATAAGTCTATACTCTTTTGCAGAAGTAAAAAGTTGAAGTTCAAAGGTGATTTCCCAGGTTTGATAATTATCAAAGACTGTATTCTGAACAGATAAACTCTAGGTAGCTGGTAACAGAGAAGTAAAAGTCATAGAAAGCTGAGTCATGAGAGGTTAGCTGTAAAGCAGGATTCTAGATACCTTCACAGGAAATAACCAGCCTTGTAAGGTCAATAAAGAAATTTGAGTCCAAAAAGACAGCATTCAGTTTTAATGTGTCAAATGTTAGAGGGCAAGTTAGGAAAACAATACTGTACTTACTCTTGTTGAAAATTATATAGAAACAAAATAATGTCAACAGCAATGTCAGACAACTAGCACTGAAACTGGAATCTACTGGTATAAAAAATGCTCTTTTTAAACCTGTTGACTTAGATTGATTTGCTCAACCAGAATTACTGAAACAGAAAAACTATGCCATATATAAACACTATTGTAACCTATCTGTCCATCTTCCTAATTTTTATACATTAAGCAGATACTTCTTTCTGTTCTGAGAGTTAACGGTAAGTGATAACTCACTTATTTCAATGCGAACATTTTGTTTTGCTAGTACATTATTATTTTGTCAATGGTAAAATGATACATCTAATGAATTTACCCATTCCTTTTAATGCTATTAATGAATTTTCATTGAAATTATTTCAAGTTAATTGAACGCCTTTAAAGTAATGTATAAATAGCACAATTATCCAAAAAATATTTTAATAAAAATTTTATATTTAAATGAATGTTTCACATTCCACTCTTAAATAAAGATGTTTGTTGTTTATTGTTAAGTGCTGTCCATAGCAACCCTGTATAGGGTTTCTGAGGAGCAGCTGGTGAGCTTAAAACGTTGACCTTGTGGTTCAAACCAATTTTGCAGTCCAGTGCATTAACCCGTAGTGCCACACCAGGAAACTTTAGGAACAATTATTCCAGAAATGAACAGAAAAAGTATAACTATTCATACTTATGATTTATTACCATTGATACATATGGTTAGAATACAAGAATTATTAAATTAAAGGGAAAATGTCTAGATGTGCTACAATAATTACTGATTTTTCTCAGTTGAAACTAATGTACACTGACCCGGAAGTCACAAATGGATAGTCTGATTTTCAGTATTAACTAGAAATTTTAAATTGGCATAGCTTACTAAACTGTTTAAACCACAGTTCCTTCAAAAAAATAGAATTAGATATCCCTAAAGAGCTCTGGTAGCGTAGTGGTTATGAATTGGACTGTGAATCACATGTTCAGCAGTTCGAAACTATGAGCTGTTCTGTGGGAGAAAGATGAGGCTTTCTGCTCCTGTAAAGATTTACAGCCTCGGAAACCCTGTACAGGGTCGCTATGAGTCAGAAACCGACTCGATGGCGCATAGCAACAACAACCACAACCATCCTACCATACATAAGGAGTCCTGGTGTGGCACTGTGGGTTAATGCACCAGACTGCAAAGCCCTTTGAACTGCGAAGTTGATGGTTCAAGCTCACCAGCTGCTCCTCGGAAACCCTATACAGGGTCGCAATGGGTCGGAACCAACTCGATGGCACTTCACAACAACATTCAATCTGTATGCTAAGCAAATAATCTTAGAGGTTGGATTATATGAAGATGAATGTGGCATCAGGATTAGATTAACAACCAGTGATATTCAGATGACACAACCATGCTTGCTTAAAAGAAAAGGATTTAAAATACTTGCTGATGAAGATCAAAGACCACAGCCTTTTGTATGAGTTGCACTTCAATGTATATGGAACAAAAATCCTCACAACTAGACCAATAAATAACATCATGATAAATGGAGAAAAGATTGAAGTTGTCAACATTTATGGAAGCCACAGTCAAGAAATTATACGATGTATTGTATTAAGCAAATGTGCTGCACAAGTCCTCTTTTAAGTGTTCAAGAGCAAAGATCTCAGTTTGAGGAATAAATGGTACTTGACCCAAGCCACAGTATTTTCAATAGCCTACCACAAGGAGTCCTGGTGTGGCTCTACAGGTTAATGCACCAGACTGCAAAACTGTTTGAACTACAAGGTCAGCGGTTCAAGTTCACCAGCTGCTCCTCAGAAACCCTATACAGTGTTGCTATGGCTCAGAACCAACTCAACAGCACTTCACAACAACAACTACAAAGTCAGTTTGAGCTGCAAGGTCAGCAGATCGAAACCAGCAGCAGCATCTTGGAAACCCTATACAGGGTCACTATGAGTTGGAACCCATTTGAGGGCACTTAACAACAATATGCACCTGAAAGTTGAACAAAGGATCAGGAAGACCTTAGAAGAATTGATTAATTTGAATTATGGTGTTAGAGAAGAATAGTAAAGGTACCACAGGCTGTCAAAAGAACAAACAAATGTGTGTTGAAAGAAATACTGTCAGAATGCTACTTAGAAGACAAGATGACCCAGACTTTGTGTCTCACACTTCAAATATATTATCAGCAGGGACTAATCCCTTGAGAAGGATATCATGCTTGGCAAAGTGGAGTGACAGTGTAAAAGGAGACCCTCAATGAGATGGATTGACACAGTGGCCACAACAATGGACTCAAGTGCAGTAGAGATTGTGAAGGTGGGGCAGGACCAGGAAACCATTCGTTCAGCTGTACTTGAGTGGGAATCGACTCTATGATTCTTAACAACAACCACAGTTATAATTTTGGCATATTAATTAGAAGTCAGCTCTAAACAAAAGAAAAAGAGTTCTACATTTATGGAGTCCCAGGGTGACACCGTATGATAAACCTTGTGCTGCAATGCCACTTTGAACTGCATTGTCGGCGGTTCAAACTCACCAGCATCTCCTTGGAAACCCTTATAGGGTCGCTAAGAGTGGCAACCAACTAGATGATGCTTTACAACAACTTTTTCATAAAAAATAGCAAGCCAAGAGAAGATACAGACTGAAAATATGCTTTCCATAAAACTTAAACTTGTAGCTAATGTCAACATAATTGTCAAAGAAGGAATTTTTTTTTTTACAGGATTTTTAATGGGGGTGGACAAGAGAACTGCCCTTCTTCTTTATAGGTGTTCCTCAAGGACTACATTTAAATTATTTCCATTTCTTTTTCACTTCCCTAATCTCACCAGACACTCCTCAGAAACCTTACAGGGTCAATGGCAAAGGCACTTATCAACAACAACAACATCAAAATAGGCAAGGCTGACTCAACTATGGCTTTGCTAGCACCATCATGGGACAATTTTTGTTGCATTATTAATGAATTTTGGAATCACGGTTCCTTTGAGACAACTAAAATCAACACATTGGTTTCTCCCGTATTATTTAGAAGTACTTTATGATTCATTGTCAATATTTGTTCTCTTTGAATTATTTTTCAGCAATGGCTTTATTCCTGATGGTGATGTTTCTGGCCACTGTGCTACTTCCATGTTTACCTACTGAAGGAAAGGTAAGGTGATGGTGCAAATCCTTTTGAGAGCTGTCCAGACAGCTTTGTGGGATACATGCCAGTAGATAAACCATTAAGTGGGACAGTTAAAATAAAATTATATTTGGATATGTAGTTTATTAATGTATTAGGTTTTTAGAAATGCCATAACAAATTACCATAAACTAAGTGCACCAGGGTTGTATCTTCTCACCATACTTATTCAGTCTGTATGCTGAGCAAATGATCCAGGAAACTGGATTATCTGCAAAAGAATATGGTGTAACAATTGGAGGAAGGCTTAACAACCTGCAGTATGCAGATGACTCAACCTTGTTTACTGAAAATGAAGAGGACTTGAAATATTTACTGATTAAAATAAAAGACTACAGCTTTATTTGCATGTAAAACTTGGACAATGAGTAAGGAAGACTGCAGAAGAATCAATGCATTTGAATTATGGTTTTGGAGAAGACTATTGAAAGTACCATGGGTGTGCACCAGGGTTGTATTATTTCACCATACTTATTCAACCTGTATGCTGAGCAAATAATTCAAGAAACTGGATTATATGAATAAGAACATGGCATTAGGATTAGAGGAAGACTCACTAACAACTTGCAATAATATGCAGATGATAATGACCTTGTTTGCTGGAATCTAAAAGGGCTTAAAATACTTAACTGATGAAGACCAAAGACTACAGCCTTCGATATGGCTTACACCTCAATGTAAAGAAAACATAAATCCTCACCAGTGCACCAATAAATAACATCATGATAAAGGGAGAAAAAATTGAAGTTGTCAAAGACTTCATTTTGCTTAGATCCACAAGTAATACTCATGGAAGCAGTAGGCAAGAAATCAAACAATGGATTGCATTAGGCACATCTGCTGCACAAGACCTCTTTAAAATGGTCGAGCAAAGATACCAGTTTGAGGACTAAGGTAACTCTGACCCAAGCCATGGTATTTTCAATTGCCTCATATGCATGTGGGAGTCCTGGTGTGGCGCTATAGGATAAAACGCTGGACCACAAGGTCGTTTTGAACCACAGTGCTAGTGGTTCAAACTTACCAGCCACTCCTTGGAAACCCTGTACAAGGTTGCTATGGGTCAGAACCGACTCAATGGCACTTAATAACAACAACATATACATGTGAAAGTTCGACAGTGAATAAGGAAGGCCATGGAAGAATTGATATTGGAGAAGAATATTGAAAGTACATGGATTTCCAGAAGAACAAATAAATCTATGTTGGAAGAAGTATATCCAGAATGCTCCTTAGAAACCAGGATAGCAAGACTTTGTGTTTCATATTGGGGACATGTTATCAGGAGGGACCAGTCCCTGGAGAAGGATATCATGCTCATTAAATAGACAGTGAAAAAGACGACTCCCAACAAAATGGATTGGCACAGTGAACCCACAATGGACTCAAATGCAGCAACAATTGGGAGGATGGTGCAGAACTGGGCAGAGTTTCATTCTGTTGTGCATAGGTCGCTATGTGTCATAATCAACTCAGTGGCATCTGAATACAACAGAATGAATTACCAGAAGAATGAGCAAATCTGTGTTGGAAGAAGTACAGTCAGAATGCTCCAGGATAGTGAGAATTCATATCTCATACTTGGAGAAGGACATCATGTTTGGTAAACTGGAAAGTCAGTGAAAAGGAGGAAGACCCCAAAGAGATGGATTGGTACAGTGGCAGGAGCAATGGGCTCAAATATAACAACAATTGTGATAATGGCAAAGGGCCAGGCAGTGTTTCCTTGTGGTATACACGTAGCCACTATGAGTTGGAACCTTCTCCACGGAACCTAAGAACAAAGTGGAGTCTCTGGATGGTGCCGATGGTTAACATGCCCAGCTGTTAACTGAAAGGTTGGAGGTACAAGTCTGTCCGGAGCACCTTGAAAGAAAGACCTGGCAATCTACTTTTGAACAATCAGCCATTGAAATATCCGATGTGGCACAGTTGTACTGACACATATGGGGTTTCCATGAGTTAAAATCAATTAGATGGTAACTGGTACTGGTACTTAGGAACCCACAAGCAGACAGGAGAAATAGATCAGAAGTAGATAATACCAATAAAATGTGATCAGACCTATGATCATAGTATCTGGAGAGCCCTGAGAAAATTTGGTAACTTAAATCAAGTTTGGTCAGGAAAAATCTACAAAGGTCAGTGACCCTTACCTTAAACTAAAATTGACTTCTAAGTAACTTCAAAGCCTTGCTCATCCCCGTGCACTCGTGTATAGATTTAGGTAAACCCAATTTTCAGCCCTTTTACCAAAACGTACACACCACCACTTCAACTCCCCCCACCCTTCTATTCCAGCTAAGATCTGCCCTCTAAACACATACAAAAATACACCAAAAATATCAGTGTCTGACTTAATACCATATTAGTTTATATTTTCCTTGGTAAAGTGGAAGGTTGGAAAAAAAAGAGAAAGACCCCAAACAAGATGGATTGATTGGCACAGTGGCATCAGCAATGAGCTCAGGTGTAGCAACGATTATGAGGTTGGCACAGGACTGGGCAGTGTTTCATTCTATTGTGCATAGGATCACTATGAGTCAGTAATGACTCAATGGCACCAAACAATAACAAGTTTTGTGTGTGTGTGTGTGTGTGATTAAAAAAGACAGCAGTAAGTCTTTGATTGTATGGCTTCCTTCCCTCCAAATTGACTTGAGATTTAATTTTGCAAAACTGTCTTATAAGTTAGTTGTTGTTTTAAGTGCCATGGGGTTGGTTCCAACTCAAAGTCACCATGTATAAAGATTCCAAGGAGTGGCTGGTGAGTGTGAAATGACAACCTTGTAGTTAGTGGTCTAGTGTTGACGTTACCCACACCAAGACTCCCATTAAATCTGCTACAAAATAGGTAACACCATTTTTCTGGAATATTGCATACAAGACATGCACTTGAA